GTGATACAGCTCACAAGTGATATTATCACAAGTGATATTCTAACACGCCTCCTCACTTGTGGGTCCTTAATAAGAGAGCTCAAGCCCATATACCGAGTTGGGTGCCCCAAGTCTACTAGAAGCAGGCTCCCATAAACGGGTACGTGGAAAAAAATGGGTACGTCATCGCACGGTTCCAATAGAACCGCTCTGATACCATGAAAGAAACTGGGAGAAAACGGGTACGGTCCCACTAACATGAAACTCACCATAAGCGGTAAAAGTCCATATGGTCCCAAGTAAGGTTTCATCCCAAAACCAATTGGTGGAAGAAGGAGTAGCTTATTAGATTTATAAGGTGTATCTATTTTTTATGTATGAACAATATAGAACAACTCACAAGTGATCTTCTAACAACAACCAAGTCTAATGCAAGTTAAAATTATGCTTCGATATGCAATGGTGATTTAAATGCAAATAGCAAAAAATTGTGATTAAATAGTAAAGAACCTTAAAGGTGGTTCCTATATATGCAATTCTGCCTTTAAAGTTTCACAACTAGTTTAGCAATTTGCAAATAGTCGATAATTGTGCTAGCGGATGGCTGACAGCTGATTTTACGAGTCGATTTAACTAGTTTGGTAAACAATTTGATAACTGATTTATATAGTATAAAATGATACTGACAACGTTTAAAAATATCTATATGTTGTTTATTTATATGTAATATAGGCCTTTAGAATGAATGTGTTTTACATAATGAAATATTATCAAGTTAACAACAATAATTAATTGAAAATTACTAGTATAATTTCTGAAGTTGTATATATACCACATAAATATATACCCATAAACTATTCTTCTTGAGAATTTAAATTTATGAAAAGGGGTAGATTTTGGTACAATAGGTAAAAGTATAAAACACGCTGATATTTTAATTTGTCGACCTAAATAAATATAATTTTATATAAAAAATTAGATAAAACAAGCTACAAAAAGTGCAATATAATGCATGCCAATGTCCACAAATTTCAAGATATTTTCAGTAATGAGATGTCAAAACATGCTTTCTCACATTGTAACTATATCCATATATAGGAAAAAAAAATGTCAATTTATTTTATATGCCCCCACTTAACAAACCCTTTATCACAGCATGTTAATATATGTTTGGTACTTAAGAATGAAATATAATTATCAAAAATCTCGTTTTTTTTTTATTTTTTATTTTTTATTTATTTATTTATTTATTTTTATTTTTTTTTTTTTTTTT